GGCCCTCCTGGTCCACCTGGCATTCCAGGATGTAATGGCACAAAGGTGACATTTACATATGTTTATAACAGCATCTCTGTGTTGAAATAAAAATGTTCCCCAAGCATATGTTCCCTAAACAAAACCAATTTTTCTGTTCCCCTCAGGGTGAAAGAGGTCCAGTAGGTCCCCCAGGTTTACCAGGACTGACTGGGAGCATAGTAAGTAGATTCTTTCATGCTTGATTCCCTTGTTTCAACCCTGATTCTTGAAATGCAAATATAACTATATGAAATTGTATGGAGTATAAAACGTAAAATATGCAATACTGAGGAAGACTAACATCAAATATGTCTTTTTCCACAGGGACCCCCAGGACCTCCTGGAATGAAGGTACATCTTACACTAAGTGTATTCATATTCTGCTTCTAACAATAAGAATTAGGGTGAACTCTACACCCTCTAAGACTAGCAGTTCTTCCTTAAGGACTGAAAAAATGTACTGGCATATTTCACTTTGTACTCTGTTCTGCAGTCCCACTAAATAAAGACAGTGGGGTGACCTCCAGTTAATAACAATTGAATATACGTGTTGTTCCATGCAGGTCTTAGAAGTGTAAGTATTACGGGGATTACAACAGAAAAAAATAGTATAAATCATTAATTATGTATAAGTATTGTTGTGGCCACCCAAATGTGCATAAAGATTTAGATAGATTTTATGGTTCAAACATTTGTTTTGATATTGACATTTCATTTATCAAAATAGTTTCAAATAGACTATGTTTGTGGAAGAAGGTCATATAGCCCACAATATGAGAAGCATCTAACACATACTAAACAGTTTTCATAAAGAAAAAAAATTAAACAATCTATTTAGGTATCTGAGTGCATTTTGTGAGCTGGAGAATGAAATATTGAATGTCAACAGAGAGCTTTTGCTCTTTAAAATGAACAGATATAATTTGGAACCGTAAGCTAAATATAAGTCTAAATGTAATCTCAGATTTGTAATGACATGACTATCTGAAGTTGTAAAATGCCCTTTTCTCTTTCTCTCACATGGGAAGAACTGACTTAGTCTATAAACACTGAAGTACTGGAACGTTTCTTCCCTAGGCATGTATGCATAGGTACATAACGCCTGAAATAAAATCACTTACAATATTACAACTTTGTACAAAAACGCAGGAAAAATGGGATGTTTTGCTATCAAAAAAAGAGACATAAAATGGATAATGATCAGAATAGTTTTCTAAAGTAAGAAAAAGTGGATTCCTTTTTTGAAGAAAAAGGATGCCATAAATGGCTTTTATGTCAAAGTTAGGTATAAGACTGAAGATCTCAGCCTGGAAAAAAGATTGTGAAGTTACTACTTCTCTCAGCAGCCAGGTCAGATGCTCCAATTGTGTGGTGACACTGTAGTAGAGATAGATTTGGTGAGAAAATCTTTGTGATTACCCATTACAGTGTAGGAAATTAGGGTATGAAGGAAGGTTTGGTACTGGAATCTCTTCAGGTGGCTTTAAAGGACATTTGGCAATTAAAGCCTTAACTTTTAATATCTCTTGCTATGTTTCAGCTGAATTAGAAGTAAGGTGGCTTTTTTTAAGTCGGCTTTCCAAATGATTCCAAAGTTTGCATAGCTTCAACTTTCCTCTTATCTCAATATTAGTGTTTTTGAATGTATTTGAATGGATGTTCAAGTATTATTTTTTTCTTTTCTTCTTATAGGGAGAGCCAGGTGAAGTGATTGGTCTTTTACCTCCTAGTGTGCTAAAAGGTGATAAAGGCTTTCCTGGCCAACCTGGACTACCTGTAAGTCTAAATGATGTTTGAATAGCAGTGAGCTCCAATTAAAATTATATCAGTATCATGGAATTACCAAATAAATATCATTTTTTAATTATGCCATTTTGATTTTTCATAGGGTCCACCTGGAACTCCAGGATTTCAGGGACCAATGGGGCCACAAGGGCCTCCAGGAGATCCAGTAAGTTTCTTCTCATGGTGATTTGCACTTATTACTTATAGAGCTTTATTATAGGAAAGTTCTACAGGGTGTGTATAGCCAGCGTTTGTTGGGATTTGGGAAAGATAACCCGTGGTTCCAGGCTTCAGGTTTAGCCTCCTGGACTCTACCATGGCAGCAATGACGAGGTAACATCAGTTTTCAATAGCAGCTGGTCCTACAGTCATCTTCTCTTCTTGCAGGCTTGGAAGGTATTTTTGTATGGGAGGGGTTGCAATAGTTACTCCTCCTTTGCCTTCTTCCCCCACTTCATTTGTGGAAATAAACTACACACCAAGTAGCCAGATCTAAACCAAAATGTTTGCTGAGTTTGTTCTTATGGGCAGCCACAGTAAGTAGTACTGTGGAAAGCAGGTTATCAACTGTCTGTTATTATGGCAATTGCCAAATGCTGAAGGCTGTTTGACATTTTGACAGGTCTAACAGATACCTAGTATCTCCTCTTCCTGTACTGGATGCAGGTAACACTAGCAGGGATCAGTTATTTCCATCTGGTAAAAGTCCACCCAGTGTTTCTGGCTATTGAAGTGAGCTGTGTGAGATTTCTTACCCTTCTGAAGAAAACTGAAAGTGATGTAAAGGAAAATGGTAGTACAGTTTAGTCAGCATTTGTACTTGCTGATGTGGAAAAGAACAATTTTAATGAAAGAAAGGTGAAGACTAATATTTAGCATGCAAAACTGCAAAAAAAAAAGTCAGCAATAAAGTTATTTTACAGTGCAGTACTATGGACTTTTTTTGATTGTCTCTTGTCTAGGTACTGATTAGGTCCAACACTCTTGACTGCAAAATGAGGTCTGATGAGATATCTTAGACAGATTCTGTTTGGTTTTTTTATTTAGTCTAAGTTGTGAGTTATGCACAGTAGAAGAAAAAGACTTCATGTCTTAGTTTAATGGAAAGATTTGCATTTTTGCTATCTTTATAGAATAAGGCATTATTCCACCTAGTGTGCTATATACATATATATGCTAAAATGTACTGTCTTGTAGGGTCCCCGAGGAGAACCAGGACCCCCAGGCGAGAAAGTAAGACTCTTTTTATTATAAAGATTAACTCTGTCTGTTTATTTATTTGGTACACCAGATCCCCAAAAATCTGGCAACATATGGTCCTAAAGGAGTGGGCTTTTTACACTTCGGCATCTATTTTTATGTCTTAATGGACACCATAAAGAGAGATTTTTAACACATTTTTTAGTTTTTTTTCAAATTTGTTTAGATCTGTTATCTCACTTGATCAAATCAGTAGTAATTACAACATTCTATGATTATTTGAACTCATCTAAAAATTTCAAAATTTTCACTAAAATGTTGAAAAAAGAGCATACTGACAATAAAATTATGTGATAAATTTCATTTTGTTTTTTCATGAATTGCTGTGATGCAGGACTTAAAAAAAGCAGTGGGGGGGTTGGACATAATTATTTATTTGTTTCACACGTGCATTTAAAAGACGTATTCTGTCTTTTATATCCTCTCTTAACTTTTGCCGTGTACAAAATACCTTCACATGTGTGTATGTATGCATGTATGCACTGCTGATAAAAATTGACTAAGTATGTGTAATTTATATTTTCAGGGCTACATGGGCTTGGGCTTTCAGGGTCCCAAAGGTGAAAAGGTAAGTCGCTTGAAAACTTCTAGAGAACAACTGTCAGAACTATTCTTGATACTTTGTTTTAATAAATAAACTGTTGGAATCAATCAATGGAGAAAATCAGCATTGTAATTTTTGGAAGACTTGAGTAAATCTGTAACTTACACCTAAATGAACAAAAGTCATGAATGGTTACAGACTTTGTTCATGATGACGTCATACCTGACATTATTTTCAGTCATTATCATGTTTTCTAGCTGTGACTAGTACCAACTACTTTAGTTTGCAGTAGGTAGATGTGGAAACATTTACTCTGTATATTAGGACTCATAATTAGTCTTATTTGAAATCAATTTAGTTCTGAGGGATGAGGTTTAATGTGCTGTCCAGAATTATCAGCATTAATTGTGGTAGGATTCTTGAGGGCCTGTTTGCCTTAGTTTGGTTTGGTAATGTATACTTCCGAAGCAGATCTTTCAGTTGTCCCCTTTTACTCTGTTTTGACTCAGCCAGGAGCAGGTTTCAGAGCACACAAACTGGCTTACTTTTGAATGAAACTAAGCTAAAAGATGTGCTCTGGGATCCCATTTATTCTCTTAACCAGCATCAAATGGGAGGTAAAACATGTTAGGTTTAACTGGTACCTCTCCCACTGAGAGGTCTAGGCGAAAGTGCCTTATGTTGTGTTTTCAGGAGCCAAGAAATGCATACAGTCATGGGTTATTTGGTAAACTGATAGTGTGCCTGAGCCATTCTCCAGAAGATTTTCATGAGTGTCATTGACAGAGGCCTTTTGTAGTATAAATAAATTATGTTACTTAGGTGGGTTTTTTTATCCACCATCCTGTTTACGTATTTTGAGCCACACTACTCCTAATGGATAGAATTTTTTCTGATGTGACACGTTATTGAAATTAAGTTGTTATCATTAAAATTTGTGAAAAATGTTGGTCATAGAAGTATGTGAAGATTTCCTGGACTCCTCAGGTTGTCTTTAGCAAAAAATTAATGGTACTGCTATCCATTACTGCTTGACAGAAATGTATCAAGCCTTTTTGGAGGTGTTTTACTGTAAAAGATAGTGCTTTTGCATAATATAAGGAGGTGTGGTTGTGACCCTGCTATGGACACATACATACTAAAAAAGTATGATCCACAGTTATCAGCTTGATGTTGGCCTTTATGGAGAGTTGTAAAGCTGATGGAACACTGTAAGCTTTGACTAACTTTTTCCTTTAGGCATTGACTTTCTGCAGCTGACCTCTTTCCTCCTAATTTCCTTCCTCCTAAAGGAGGCACTAAAAACTTTTGCACTATTACAATAATTAATTGGATATGTTCCTAATATTCAGTGTTAATCAATCTTCACCCTAACAGGAGTTTCAGAGATCTTTCTTCAGGGCAGTCTCTGTCTATCACCCATTATACAGTTGTGTCTCCTATAACTGTGCATGTAACCCTTTCTCTGACTGATTTTGCTGAAATAAGAATTTTAAAAAAAACCATTTAGCTATATTTCTGAAAACGAGTGGTAGTTCTCTTTAATGTTATTGGTCTTAGTAACGTTTGTTCTCAGTGTCAGTACTGTTTTCAATGGGCTATCCTGGATTTGGTGTTGACAGGGAGAACAAGGGGTAAGGGGCCCCCCAGGCCCACCAGGACCAGCACCACATATGAAGGAAAAAGGGAGTGAAATCATAAAGGGAGAAAAGGTGAGACCTTAAATGATTAATCTTCTTGTACTCTTCATTAAAATATGATTAGTAGGAATTAACAAGCAAAAGTAAACCAGGAAAAAGTAAATAAGTCACCTACAGCCAACTTTGAAAAAATTTCTCCCTGTTTTACTGCATGAATGAATTTTGATTGTCTTTCTAGAAGCTTCTCTGAAAAATATATGATAAATGATAATGATATAAATAATTGCATAAATAAGTAACACGTACAGCAGAGGACTTTCTGAGGAAGGAGGATTGGTAAGCATAGTCCTGTGAACACCAAATATTCTAAAAATTTGCGTTAAGTAGCTTATACTGGACTTTCCATATGCAGAATCACATTCATGGAACCTAAGTGCTAATGAATTTTTCAATTTTTGAATTAGACAGTCTAAGCAATATATACTAGTATAATAAACTAGCTTAATGGATTCACGTTTTGTCTTCGTCTAACTTCTTATTGCATATCATACTATTACGCATATTTCTTGAAGTGGAGAACAGGGTTAATTGTGCTTTTGCTGACATGAAGAATTAAGTGATTTACAACCTAAATGAATAATGGTTAAGATTTTGCTTATTAATCTACATTTTTTTGGTAATTTCATTAGGGTGATCCAGGTGAAAAGGGTGAACCGGGAGCTCCAGTGAGTATTGTGTAGAATTTTTTTTTATTACTATAAAAGTTGTGAAGAGTCTGATAATGGCCCTGAATAGCTTTACAGCTATTTGATAAAAGTAAATTTACTGTAGAATTTGGCAGTATTCTTAATCTGGTGTGTATTTATTTTCCAGGGATTTCCAGGTTCAGGTTTCAAAGGAGAAAAGGGTGAACCTGGGAAGCCTGGTCCACGTGTAAGTATGCTCAACTTTATCAGTACCTTAATTGCAATTGTATTGTTTCCATAAGCTAGATAAACTTAGTCACCATTAGTGAAATGGCAAATTTGGTATATTTCAAACAAGCAAGTTTTGCCTTAGGACAGGTGTACAAGGTAGTGATAACATACAGTAATATTAGTATGTAACACACTTTCAGATAACTAAAGACACCTAACAGTAGCTTGCAGTGCTGAAGGCAAAGGCAAGAGTCCCATTGATCCCAACTGAAGCAAGAATAAGTCATTCCAGAACAGAAGGAAAAGCAAAGCAAAACAGATAATTGTAGGAATGACTTTAGCTAAATGGAACGTGTTGAATTTATTTCAAATATTCTTATGTACAATCTACAAAATAAGCCTGCTTAGCCTAAAGGTACTGTTTCTTACAAAGAAGACGAATGGAGCAAAAAATTTAGGTGACTGAGATACGTTCGCTTGCTGGTTTCTAGCCTGACTGTAGGTGCCTGAGGCCATGAGGACTGTTACGTTTGCCTAGTCTGACCTATATCATAGTCTCATCCATACAACTTCTGTATGAGTCATGCTATATCCTCAGTAGCTGAGCTGATAGCAAAACCATACGTTTTCTACATGCAAACATATCTGAAGTATTGTTTCTCAAATTGCGGGTCTTCATAAACTGTTAGAAAAAGACCTAGAACATCTATAGGCATTGAATTGTACTTCAATCTGAAAAAGAGAAAATCTCCCACTCTACTTCAAGGTCAAATGTTCTGTCATCCTTTCAGAAAAGATATGTGATGGGATTATCTTTGCTATCATATATCTATTTTTACTCTAACAGTAAATGAGGGCTTGAAAGCTGGAAGAATGGAGAAATGTTGGCATAGAACTTGTAGAGGAAACCAGAGCATCTTTGAGTTGTTAAAAAATACAGCTTTCAGTTTCTGCAGAGTTCCCTGAACAAAGTTTCTGATGTATTTTATATATAATTGTTGCTGTTCAAGGAAATCATAGCTACTTCTGAAATTGAGATAAGGCTTGAAAGATGTACAGATGTTAAGATCTGATATTCTAGTTTCATGGAATGAAACCATATGATTAATTCCAATCACAGTGTACATTTGAAGACTCTCCTGACCTCACAGATCATATTTTTAATTAATAATTAAAAATTACTTGTAACCTTTTTTTATAAGGTACCATAGCTGCCCACTTCAGTGGTGGTGGCCTGTTCACATTTGTTATATCATTTTTATCCTTCAATTGCATTGTTTTAGATGGATTTTTTTGACCTGAAGTGATGGGATTATATTTGAGACTGAATTGCATGCACTGTTGCTTTGTGTATTAAGTATATACATTTTCTTGGTTTTATGGGACATATTCATATTGCTTATGATATGCATACAATCTAAGCACTGTGACACCCACTAAAAGCCAGCCTCCAGTAGATTAGGCTACAAGCCTAGGTGCTAGTCCCTTCATAGTCCATAGGAAGAGGAAGGGAATGCTGAAAAGTAGGTTAGTCCACCGAGGTCGTTTATCACATACCTGTTGATTACCTCAGGGGGATCTAATCCCCTCTGTAGGCTAACATAGTGGCCTAATAGTGAATCAGTTTGATCTGGAGGGGGGAGTCTTGGATTCTAGGTTATCATCCACCTCGTGATTTGGAATTATAGCTTTCAATTTAGAGGAAGTGTTTTTTACCACTAGATTACCAGGCGATCTGTTATGGGGCCACTCTTCAAGCCTTCTGCTGAAACTGAGCCACCGAATGTCTATGAATAAAGGTCTTGTGAGGCTGGAGAGTGTATGTATAGAAATGGATTGCTATGAAGGGAAAAGTTTCTGGATCTGGTTCCAGTTTCCTGTGCTGTTTATATATTTTGTCTTGAAGCCTCCTTGACTGGGAAATCCGTATGTTATTCCTAGATGCGGGAACAGATTTGCAGGATTTTATTTAATTCTGCAGCTTGTAGGATGTTGAGTAACATAAGCAGTAGGCAGACACAATTTCCCTGCTTTGTACCCTCTGCGCTGTTAGCTGTGTTAGCACACTTCGGTTAATGCATTACAATAGTGATTGTTTTGTTCTAGTGTTTCACCCACTGTATTTAGAAATTGCATGTATGTGGCTGTTTAAGCACAGTGGAACTTCTTGTTTTTCAGGGAAAGCCTGGAAAAGATGGTGAACCAGGACCGAAAGGAGACCCCGTACGTATTTTACTGAATTTCCAGTACTGTTTCTTACACTCAAAACAAAGAACTGTCTGTGTATTATAAATGGTCGAAATTTTCTAGCCTTCTGAATTGTTTACTTAAAGTTGTTGCTTTCAGTGAATTAGTGACTGGTTTGAAAAATTTAAATTTGGTGCTGCCAGAGCTAAGATGCAACTATGTTTGTCTTTTCTGGTTTTGCTGTCTTCTACATGCAGGGTTTGCCTGGTGGGTTTGGGATTCCAGGACGACCCGGGGAGCCTGGTACGAAGGTGTGTAGTAGTGGCCTTTGCTTCCCATCAGAATGAGGAGTTACGAGCTTATATGGCATGTTCATAGATGTGTGTTAAAACATAAATGTACATAAAGCAATATTAAATGAATGTTACTAAGTTGTAAAGTCATCACTCAGAGACTAGGAAAAGTCAAGATTAAGGTAGCTTAGGTATCCCTGGTTTAGATCTCTTCCATGAACTGATTAATGCAGGCTTTATTTTCACAAGCTCTTTGCCCAGCCAGCATATGTACAGATACACTTTCCTAAAAATCCCAGTTTCTCTTTACATAGTGTGAAGCAGTAAGGGCCCACAAACTAACTACTTACTGCTTATTATAATGGTCCAGGGACTTATAATTTGGAAGTTGTATGAATCTGTATCAAAGTCTTCATTTGCTAAGGAAATCCTATTTTGTGGGGAAGAAAATCCAAGCTGGATTTAAAATGTGAATTGTATTTTGATTTAGGGTGACAAAGGTGAACGAGGTTTTCCAGGACCTCCAGGAAGAGTAAGTAAAATAAATTCTTTATTTTAAACTTAAATGAGAATACAAATTTTGTGAAAGTCAAAGTGCTCAAACAATGAGGGAAAAAAGAGACTATGCGTGTTCTGATCTCATTCTAATCAGTCATGTCCTCATTTTTTCTTAATGGAAACAAAAGTTAGATACAGTTCTTTTAAGTATGTTTGAGATCTGGGAAAGGATCTCTCTCTCAAAGAATATGAATTTCAAATGTTTTGGCCTATGAAAATGATAGGCATTGTTAATCAATACAAAGTATCTAAAAGAGAGTTCAAAAGAGTAAGTCTGTCAGCTTTGCAGTCTATATTTTTTTTAACACTTCAAATGAAAAATGGGATTAGTTGGCAACAAATAGATCATTGATGGTGCTGCTTCCCCAACATGGGGGGAAATTCCTAACATCTGCTAATTTGATTTGAAAAATGATGCATGCTTCCTAAATATTTTATTGCAAATGTTAGTATCCTACATGTCAAGCTCAGATCAACGTTAGCAGAAATTGCCAGAACAGAATATTTTAAAATTACAGGTAATAGAAACCTAATGAGTCAGTTCTTAGACCATGCTGAGGTTTCTTGGCCTCATTCTTGTTTGGAAAGGTGATATAAAGCTCTCCACTTAATCCTACTACTGATATGACAGAATTTTGGTAGAATGGGAAATATTTATTTTCTCTGGTAATTCCTTAGCAGCTACAACTCTCTCACAGCTGTTGTTAATGCATCACTGAAATTGCGACTATAACCAAAACTGCTCAAAATTGTTTTCACAAACCAAAATGGCCTCTGTACATTCAGGTCAGGATGGGGAAGATACAAATGAGGGCACAGTTGTATGTTTCTAGTGTCCTAGCCTTTGTCCTGTGATTCAGGTTATAGATCCTGGACCAGTAGATAGCCTTGGTGAAAAAGGAGAGCCTGGAGTTTCCGGTTTGCCTGGACTGAAAGGTCAAAAAGGTGAAAAAGGTATGTATTTTGTCTTGTCTTTTTGATTGAGTTATGCTTTTAGTTTTCTTATTAAAGGAAATTAAAATTGCACTATCTGTCAACTCAGGATCTTTATATAACAGTGAAATGTTCCAGTTATTTATTTAATTGCTTTCAGGTTATTACATTTTGTTGTAGTTTGTAGGATGCTTCTTCTCATCATAAATAAGACTGCCTTTTTGTTATAGATTGGAAAAGGATAAGCTGGGATCTGTTTTTAAGGCAGTTAAATAATTCAGTGAGATTATTTAAGAAAGATGGAAATCAACACAAGCATAAAGAGGCTAATAATGCAGAGAATCTTGAGACTCCTTTTAAAAAGTCAGTAGCTAAATTTTAATCTTAAAATTGGCTTGCATAAGTTACAAAATTCTTCAGTAAACAGGGAAAATCAAGCATTCCCTTTCTCACTTTCCCCATTACAGACCTTACCCTATTGAATAAAGATCAGTGGAGAAGATGGCACACAGCAGGGCCTTTTTTGTAAATGCATTGTTTGCAGATATCTATAGATTATTTAACTTAACCTTTGACTCAGGGTGTACTAGCTTGTAATGTGTACTTAAATAATATGTGCTAAAAGTTCACTGACGTTGGCATTGCTGACTTCATTGCCTAATTGAAAACCTCTCTTTCTAAAGGTTTGCCTGGTACACAAGGAATCCCAGGACCTCCAGGTATGAATTTATGGCCACTGATTTTGGTCACGTTTTTCCTGTGCTCTTCCTGGGTGAAGAGTCCTGAGAGATGTTCTCCTTAGCTGCTGCCGGTTACTGCCTGACTTACAGAACACCCAGGCAGTGGCCTCTCCGGGGTTCTAATCATCCCCCTAGACCCTTCCTATAGATTGCTTTTCTCATGTCTCTGATGTGATCCAGCCTTCCTCTTTGTGTAGAGCCCTGGTAACTTTCTGCTTAAATTGAAGAAATAATGTGCACAGGTTGTCAGAGAGAGCCCAGAAAGTACGGCTCCATTGGGCAAGAAGATTCGTAAAATGTGAATACGCGCGTGGGTGTGTGCGTATGTACCTATGAATGTATACAATTTGGTTTGCTCTCACTTCAGCTCTATATGCATTTGCATAAATATAATAAAACAAGGTTTTTAGGGAGAAATAATAACATTTATTAATAAAAGTCATTCCTGAAGGCTTCCTGCTTTTTTTGACTATGTCACTTGATCTAATAAAAGTAATTTCTTTTGCCTGCAAATAGTGCCTTTTTCATAGTCTTAACATCTTCACATCCATGATGACACTGCTATTATGTATATATGTACATGTACATGTGTTTGAACTAAGCAACAGTATCTGCTTTTTAAAAATTAAGCAAATCATCCATGGAAACCTAACTCTAACACACCCTGCAGTGATACTACTAATACCTCCCTTGCTCACATTTTCTATCTTGACAGTGAGCTAAATATGAAATTAATGTAAGCCAGGGTCAGATAGTTTCCAGGAAATTTTTCACAGTTTAGGGAGGTGATACTATATACTGCAGGCTGTAATAGTCCCTAAAGAATTCCGTGTGACAAGACAAGAAAAATAGTAGCTCTTAGTCTGTCATTACCCTACAGAAATTGAGATTTGTGTGACTTTCATATCTTCCTGCAATGTTGCAGAAGGCTCAAAATGGTTTAGTGATCAAGTCTAGTTTCATTGTTAACTGAAATAACTCATTAAAGTATGAAGACCTGTGTGACTGTACAAATGGCTAAAAGGAGAACTTAAGTAGTTTTTTCTAGCTGTTTAACTGCTTCTCTTTATTGGCTGTTGTTTGCTCATTATTCCTCCAAACAGTTTTGGTTTTAGCATTCCTGAAATCTGCTAGCTCTGTTGAATATTTATTTATTGAAGTTCTTAGAGACACTGTCTCTTTCTAGGTGTGTTTAAGATTTGTTTTATTATGATATAAGGAAAAGAGCGGTAGTTTCGAAGTATAACAGCTAAATTATCTCCTGTGTCACTACTTTTTCCTACGCAGCAAAAGCTGATTAAACTAAATCGCAGAAAGGCAGTACAGAATAAGAGTTTGTCTAGGGACCTAACCAAAGTGAGTTATTCTGAGCTGTAGTCAGTAGGTAACCTCGATTTTTTATAAATCACCAACAGTAAAAATACAGTCCCTTTTTATTTGGCACTAACATTTTTTCTGTTTCTCTCTGAAACCTAATGGACGCTAATGTGTTGACAATGTTACCGTCTTTCTGCTTGTAACTTTTTTTCATGTATGTTTTACTCTGTCCAAAGGTCTACCACTTCCAGACAGGGTAGGATCACCTGGTGTCCCTGGAGAGAGAGGTGAAAAAGGTGAAAAGGGTTCTCCGGGATTCTCTTTACCCGGACCCCCTGGAAGAGATGGTTTCCCAGGTCCCCCAGGGTTGCCTGGCCCACCAGGTCCTCCAGGCAAAACAGGTAGGTAAAGCATTTGGTTGCTTTTCACAATGAAGACTCAATAATACACATTGCATGCACATAAAAAAGGATAAGGAGACAATTATAAAAGCTATAGTCAGAATGCATCTACATCGTGGAAGAAACATATCTGAGTTAATGGACCAAGTAAAAGCCGTCCCGTGATGTAGCAAGCTGCTTGTTTCCTTACTGGGATAAGGATTCTTTGCTAAATGTTTTTAAAATTTCTTCAAAAGTACATTGTGGGCTGTTAGAATATAACCAAATAATTGACTTTAATACATATTGGTTTCCTCTGTGTCCTAATGTGCTAATTTAGAGATATTTATAAATTTGCAATTAGAAAAATAACAGATGCTAATATTGTTGGCATAAAAGCTGTTCAGTATCACAATTTACCAGTCTGCAGTACTAATCTATGTAAGGTGTAAGAACTGCTGATGGAGATACTACTCTGATAGAAGTTTTTATTGTAAAATAAAATTATCTTACACGAGAATGGGGTCAATACTTGCTTTATAGAGGTAACTGAAAAGCTAGTAATGATGTGACAAATACATAATAACATTAGTGGTAATCATAACAAAATTACACAGCTATGTTTAATTAGATTCTGATAAAGCATTTTTAAAAAGAAAAATGTTTTGGTTTTGTTCTGCCATGAAGCAATGAAAAAAATACATATGAAAGTGGTCCATGCTTAATAGGTCCTTACAACTGATGTTTTAATTCTTTTATTGAAGGAAAACTTTTGCTATAGGTGATACTGACATTGTGAGTTAAATTGTCATTTCAACATAAAGAATGATATCCCTATTACAGTAGTTTGGGTAGTCTAAAACTATTGAAATTCTCTGTTGAATTCCTAAGCCAAAATACTTGGTTCAAAAACAACTAAGATGCCTAGTTGTTGCTGTCTTTGCCAATGAAGCAGTACAAATTCCAGCACCTAGAATAAGGAATTAAATAGCTAAATCTTACCTTGCCCTAAAAATAAGAGCAATTCCTGTTTTTCATACCACATGTTTCTGCACTGCTTAATTCTGCTCCTTCCCCAGACATTTCTTTAGCTTTCTTCAAGTGCATAATGGGAAACAATTTGTTTTCATTTAACTGTTGTTTGCCAAACTTCACATTAACATTTTGACCACTCGCTTTGGCCAAAATGACATCATATTGTATTGGGTCAGAACCTGTGCCATATCATCAAAGAGAACAAGTACAATTTGTATTCTCATATCAAGCCTGCTAAATATTCTCATTTGTTACCTATTTCAATTCCCAACATATGAAGTTTCTCGTTTTCAGGAAGCTTGATCAGTGTGAAGAAGTTAAATAGATGTTAACAAGCTGCTCTTGACCTAGAAAGTTTCCTAAAACATTAAAAACAACAGTCAGGGTACAAAAAACTCTACTTAATTAATTTCTTCAGAACACCAATATTCTCCATTCTCTTTAGGGTCAAACCAGCAATTTTTCACCCACAGCACTTTTCTTAGCCAAAACTTAGAATAAATATAGTTTTTCTGTGAAAGTTGTTTGTAACCTTACTATGGCAGAGCCTGTCTTTTCTCTCTAATTCTTGGGGTTTCTGATGCAGTTTATATGGAATCAGAATACAGAATCCCAGTTAGATTTTTCAGCGTAAAACAAATAGAAAAATAAAATGCTATCCTGACTTATCACTATTCATAGATACATTCAGCTGGGACATTCATAAATGCAGCCCTATAATGGAAACTTACACTTGTCAAACGATATTCTTTATTGCATTTCCATTGCAGATGGAATTGATCAATGCCAGCAGGGAGAACCTGGTGCACCGGGTAGTCCTGGACCTCCTGGAAGAGATGGATTTCCAGGAGAGATGGGAGAGAAAGGTAATATTATTTAAAGTGATTGCTTTCTAATGCTCTGTACCCTGGAGCTTGGGTACATAAAGAAGCTGAGCAAGTTAGGCTGGATCCAGAAAAAGTGTACTTAAAATTAGTTAAACAAATAGTGCATGGACATGGAAGATGTTTCTTGAGTCTCTGCTGAGTCAAAGAAGGATATTGTGTATTGAGTTGTGTGACACAAACTTCACTTACATTTCACTTAGCCTACACATTGCTGGAAAGTGATAAAGGTTGGTGCAGGGCTGAAGGAGGAGCTGGGAAGAAAGAAGGGGTTGAGTATAGCCCCATTTAGTGTAAATTGAACTGTTCATGACAATTTAAGATGTGAATTCTGAGATGAAGAATTAGAGAGGGGCAGATGAGTTGGGAATGGAAATGGTTTATGAATCATTGCCATGAGTATAATTGAAGCTAAAATTGTAATACCTATAAATAAGACTGTCAACCATGTGTTTTAGCAGCATTGACTAAATGGACATATAAAAAATGAGCTGCACTCATTTACACGATGGTTGATCCTTCCTAATGTCATTCTGCTCACTGCTTTTCTAAAACTGCAAAATTGCAGTAGCTATAGATGTTCTCCTTTTTCTGCTTTAATCTTTTTATTTCTTCTGTACCCAGTGTATATTTCTTTTCTTCTTTTTGATCCTCTTCAGCCTGGTCCCTTTTAACTGCTCTGTTAAATTATCCCTAGGACAAGACTTAAGTTGATTTTCATGCCATTCCTTTAAAAATTTTAAACAATTTTGAATATCAGTTTGCTGATAAATTCTCTTTGAAGCATGTAATTAGAAGTAGCACATTTCTTTTTATTCTTTCAACATGAAGTGTATTAAATTGACATTTGCCTCTGAATCCACCTGCTTGCAGTTGTCTTAAATCTTGTCATTGTTATTCATTAGTTTTGGTGGGGTTTTTTTCAGGTGACAAAGGTGAATCCTGTGCCTTATGTGAACAAGTAGGACCTCCTGGACTTCCAGGACCACAAGGGCCACCAGGTCCAGCAGGTAAAAAATCATTAACAACCTGAGAATTAACCATGTAGGCTAACATCTAAAAATGCAGTATATATGATAAAATTAATTACTTTTTGTCCCACTAATCAAATTGTTTGTGAAACTAATGAAAGGAGGATGGAATATTCCTAATTTTGTCCTGATTCCAAATTTCTGATGCAATCAACAAGAATTACCAAGGAAGCAGAAATTGGCCACAGTGGAGGGTCTTCGCAAACTGTTGCCCAAATATTTTCACAGAAGACTGTGAAAGTGAAAAATAATGTGGGAAACATTTGCCCTATATGCCCAGGCTTGGCAGTGGCCCATACCTACATTCCCAATCCTAGCATTAAATTCTGTGACCAAAAAAAAAATATTTTTCTGTTACCGTATGAGAGAATTGCCACATGCAAACAGTGATATTATACCTAATGTTTGTTCCAGTGGCTGTTAAGAAAAAATAATATGGTTTAGGTAGTTTCAAGACTGCAGTGGTTACATGATAGGTCTAAATAGTAAGGTGAATTCATTCCTAAGTCGAATGAATGATCAGCTTCTGAGTTTATGTATGCATATAGCATATAGCACACAAACCCAGACAACTTCACCAACTTTAGCAGCATTATACTGATATAACTGGGGATGGAATGAGACACTCTGAGAAGGATCACAAAGAATTCACATACAATGAGCTATTTGTAAAAGCATGTAATAAATAGAATTGTATTTTTGTCTCTGATAAGGTTTTCCAGGACAATCAGGTTTAAAGGGTGACAGAGGCTTACCTGGACTTGATGGCCTTCCAGGGGTACCTGTAAGTAATGCCTTGCCAAATGCTATGGGTCTTGTGATCATCATGTGATCATCAGTGTGGTTGTATAATAGTTCTGTTTAAAAACAGACCAGCACAGTGATATGATAAAATTAAGGAACTATGCCTCGCAAAATAAACAAGGAAGCAGTGTTGTTGAGCTATGAGAGTCAAAAAGAGCTGTCAGAAATGGGTTATATTTCTGCATTTGCCCATCATACGAACTCAGCAGGACACACGACCTTCTGGCTGAGCAAGCTAAGCAGTGGAGTTGGGTAAAAAGTAGGATTTTGCAGGAAACGGATGCAGGTCTGCCCTGACCTTCTTGTGAATTGTTCCAATAACTCTTTGCTGTTGTGTGTATATATATATTGAGAGAGAGACAGTGCCATCTAGTGTAGTGTAAGCAATCTAATATTAGTATGCAATATACTTCAGCAGTTTGTCTGAATTTGGGGAAATGTGTGCAGTATATTCCATAAAATGTAATTAGTTAGCAGGAAAGCTAAGTAGTTTTGAAGAAATAAAGGAAGGCCATGAAAGTGGATAGTATCCTGATAATATGATCACTTGTAAATTATGTTGATGCAGCGCAACAGGACTCTCAGTGAGTAAGGCCAGATATCAGAAGCAGAACAACCACAAGCATAACACTTGTCTAAAATGTAACACAAATTACTCCTAGATGAGCACTGTACTAGCACAACTACATTTGACCTTGTCAGAGTTCACGTGAGTGTCCCTACGTACACTGTGGTATGCTGTCAAGACCTACCTTAGCATACATGTTCCTGTAGCATAACGTGGATTTTGACACCATTCCTAATGTAAGTAGACGGAGTTTGTCAGAGTCTTTCTAGACTTTTTTTCCCAAAGCTGTTTTCTCCTTCCAGCTGATCACGTTTGGTAATATAACTTCTAATAACTTCTCAGTGACATTCACATGCACGAGCTTTAACATACGCTGGAGTTATGCAAGTTCCCTCTATCACCAGCGGTGAGAGAGAGAAACCTTCAGAAGTTAAACCAACCCACCTCTATGAATTCCTTACTCAAGGAACCTGTCTCCCTTAAGTATAAATAAATCCTAGGTCCCCGAATTCAACCAATGAATGTTAGCTAGGATGGAGTCCATTTTCTATTTCCATTACGATAAATAAGATGGTATTACTCAGTGACTGAATTTACGATAGTATCAATGGGATCCACAAAAGAAGCAGTGGAGAAAAAAAAAAGACATCCTGATGTATTTAAGCTTTTTTTGTGTCTGGCATTTGTTCTCAGCACATGTTTTGCCACACCTTTATATTTTGCTTTTCTTGCCTCTTAAAGTCTGTTCATGTCTTTCATCAGGCAAGGACTGGCTGCTGTTCTGAATGCTTTTAAGCTTGTTTTGCTCCACAAAATTCAGCCATGTGGTCATCCAGCATACAGTTTAGCTTAGAAAAACTACATAGAGGCCAGCCTCACAAGCTCACATTGCTTAGAGCTATGCCAGAGCATCAGAGTCTGATCCAGGACCCAGCAAAGCTAATGGGAAGATTACCTTTGACTGTGTTCTGGTTCACGTTTAAGTGGAAGGCATACATCAGCCATAAGCAGAGGACATTGCCCATGAAGTTTGTGCTTTACTACCCTAGTGAATAGCTCTGATTCACTTGAAATTAGAGAGACTATTCCTATGAGAAAAGTTCATGTAAGTCCTAGAAAATATGTAGGGGAAAATTGGAATTCTGGAAATCCTATACGTATATTATTAGGTAGATAATTTCTCCCCAGGAGAGCTTATAAAACTGTTTTCTGAGCATGTGTGTATTATTCTGATAGTACCAACTGACTGTGATTGTTAATTGTACAAAATCAATGAACATTAGTAATGAAGGGAAAAGTGTATGTGTCAGCTAAACGTCATAAATAAACTACCCATGGAGAAGCTTTCAGCCTTCAGTTAGCCTTAGCTCTTGTGCAAATAATGTTTGAGTTTTGTATAAGACAACTGACTTAATTTCATAGACAATCTATATATTCGATGAATATTATAGTTGATTTAAAAGGCTTTGAAAGAAAGAAAATCATGGGTGGGGCTTGCGTAAGCAATTTAAACTGGTTTAAATTGGCTGAGTTTGTCTTTGTGTACTGGAAGCATGTTATTTTCCTGCATTAGTACTACTTCTGCTGGTATTGTAAATGATCGTGGAAATGTAGAGATACTTTTGCTGCATTTGCGTCAGGGAAATATGTTCCACAATGTTACAGAATTCAGCCTTTAAAGGTTGGGGCAGACATTTTAACTCTGAAAATGCCTTTTTAAAAAGCCTCGTTTACCTTGATGCTGATATTGTATAAATATGCATAACTGAAATCCAGTGGGTAGTCTATTAAAAATTCAGAGTATTTTTTTGGTGTCATGGCCTACAGTTCTTGTGTAAGTGGTGTAAGTTTATACGCACCACCTAAAATGATATACCTGTGATATGAAAAATGACAAAATGGTCAAGACAGGAAGATTTTCATTAATTCCTTATTCACACTGCTGTGTCCTGGAAAATATTCTCATTTGACCTCCTCAGTCAAAAACTTAATGGTTTACTTGATTTTTGTCTACTCTTTAATTTCTGAAGATTTGTTTTCTTTTGTATCAGTTGAAGGGTTAGCAGGGCGACTGATGACATATGAATTTATGAAATTTCAGGGCCCCCCCGGCACTCCAGGACTTATGGGCAGCCCTGGGGCAAAAGGAGAACCAGGAGATTTTTCTTATGATTCTATCCTGAAAGGTGAAAAGGGAGATCCTGGTTTCCCAGGACAACCAGGTATTCCTGGAAGAGAAGGAAGACCAGGAAAAGATGGATTGCCAGGTCTCCAGGGTCCGAAAGGAGCATCGGTATGTGTGTTTCTTTATGTTTACATATTGTCCTACTGCGTGTTTATTTACATTTACATACTGCCCTATACATTCGGTCTTTCAGATCAGAATTCACACACTTTTATGCCCTGTACATGCTTTATGTTTATTGGTCTCATTCATTGTTCCACATCTTGTCCTTACCTTGAGTAGTTCATTCTACCTCAGAGGAAGACTCCAGTTTCCCTGAAGCTAGCGAGGAAGACAGTCTTTCAAAAACAGGCTATTTCAGAGTTAGATTTTCACTCTTTCTTTTTACATGTCATGCAATTAAGTGATCTGACTCAGACGTATTCAGCATGGCTTGTTACTTTCAGGACTATAGAGCAAAGTTACTTCCCCCACAAAGTTGTGGGCATAGACAATAGTTTTGTTCCTTTCTCCTTTTCTCACAGCTTGATAGTGAGAACTAGTGTGGATGATTCAGCTGATATGTGGAGATGATTGAAGGAAAGCAGTTATTCAAGTAGCAATTGTTAAGACAAGATTCAACTCTGTTCTAGCATACTTCTCTTCTTGTGGAAACTAATGCTTCAAAGTCTTGCACTGATAGAGAGTTCAGCTGGTATGGATGTGGAGCTGAATGTGGAGCTCACATCTGCTCCCAGATCTACCACTGGGAACATAGCCTACATGGTCCAGTTAGCTGCATTGCACACTAGGTATGATTTCCGTGTGCTATTCCATGTGGAACCCAATTCTATTTCCATTGAACTCAATGATAAAAAATCCACTTTCTTCAGCATTACAGATACCTGTGCTAAATTCAAGTTACAAAATATTCAACGAGAGAGAATAACGTGTTCTGTCTTGCCAATCAGGCAAGAAGTACACTTATACTTTCCAAAAATTAGGGTACAGTTGGCTTGAAAGGAGAACGTGGTCCCCCTGGCCAACCTGGATTCCCTGGAGTACGTGGTGAAAGAGGTTTTCCTGGCCCTCCTGGGATAGGTGCTGCAGGGTTACCTGGTGACAAAGGAGACAGAGGCTTTGCTGGAACCCCAGGTTTACCAGGCCTTCCAGGTAATGCTATAGTATGCTTTAAAAAAAAATTTAAAAAAGGAAAAAAATTGTGCCCTTTCAGTAGTACAACTTAGAGGATCACCAGAATTTAAGATTGAAATAAAAAGACTTTCTAATTTAAATCAGTGTTTGCTTTCAGCAGTATAATTGCAAATCTTTGAGGGCAGTTTTCTTGAAGATTCTGTTAGGCCAAACGGGATGGTTTAGGTTCATCCTAGACTGAGTTCATCCTAGTTTTCTATGAATCTTCCACAAAAAAGCTTCATAACAAGCCAGTTGTAATGGTATGGATGGACTAATATTGCTGGCTAGGTGAAACGCCCTTGTTTAATTTCATCGGTTCCTGTACTTAATACATCTTTACATTCACAGGAGCAAAGGGTGAAGCAGGACGAACTGTACCACTCCCCGGACCTCCTGGGGCAGATGGCCTTCCTGGGCCACCTGGTTTCCCTGGACCCCAAGGTACAGTAGCCTGTTAATCTTTGATGATCATAGTCGCTCTGATCCCCAGAAGGCAGCCTTTGTATTAACATTTGTCTTGTTTTCACTTGCAAAGGTGACAAAGGGAATCCTGGGCTTCCAGGTAGACCTGGCCTGCCAGGAGAAAAAGGTGCTGTTGGGCAGCCAGGTATAGGGTTCCCTGGACCTCCAGGACCCAAAGGTAAGATAAAGTTATCCATCTAACAGACCTGGTGTAAGTGGAGTGTGGATGGAGGCGTGCACTGTCATCCAGCCATGGCTGCATGAGATTTGGGAGGTGCAGCTGAAGAACCTCCCTTGCAGAAGTCCACAAGCACCACAATAAGCATACTTTCAGTGCACACTTGCTTTGTGGCAGTGATGTGGTGCAGATACAGGCAGTGTCAAAGCTACTGCCAGAATAGAAAGTGATATAGTACAACTTCTTACACTGCAGCAGCTGAGGTTGCTGAGAGATGAGATGACCTTTCTGAGAGATGAAGCACTCTGTACGGTTAGTCAAAAAACCATGCTGACATAACTATAACATTTTTGGGCCAGAGCTAGCAGCTCTGCTGTGTCCCAGGTGGCTGAGAGTGGTTTGGTTAGAATACCAGCTTTCTCAGCATAAGTTTAGTCTTCCCTGCATGGCCATTGTCAGGGTACACACATAGCTTAGAGGGAGTCTAAATGTTCATGTTCTAGTTTTGGATTTTTGGGAGATGTATTTCATAGTGCTGCTACTCATTTAGAACTAGATGACCAAGCTTTCAGCAGCCACCTCAATCCCCAAAATTCTTGTGTGTCTTCATTATTATTTCATTTATTATGATTCCACACACCAATGAACTGGGAGGGTCAGAAAGACTTAACAAGGAGAAAGGGTAAATCTTTACCTGTGACCACCTCTAGTTCCTCTGAGACTGGCATGGGACGAACCTGAACAGAAGACGCCCATTGCCAGCAAGAAAGGATTGACATATCAAATACATTTCTTTCAAGGACCCTTCCTTGAATTCAGTTCTGCCCAATTACTTTTCTCGAGCTTAGCCTAAAAGCTGGATTTCCTGCTCCATGAGGTCTTTGCCTGGGAGAGGAGCTTCATGTCAATTTATTGAGTGTGTGCTGGTGTTGAGTGAGTGCTGTCTTCAAGTGATTTGCAGAATGTTTTATGTATTCCTTCCTGCATTCCCAAGGCACAGTGCATGGGCCAGCTGTGGCATAGAAACCTTCTGTGTGTGACCCACAGCAGGATGTGTAGAACATGTCACACGACGTATACTGAACAAAAGGTGTTGATTCACAGATGGATTTTGTGCATCCCTCAGGCTGATGGGATGCACACATTAAGCTGCCTTTTCTGAAGAAGACTTTGGGAACCCAGTTTTGCAGACAGGATGTTTCTCAATGACATGAACCCACAAGGCTATTAATTTAAGAGGAGACGCTCAGCATTTATTTCTTCTGGGTGGTTGTTTCTCATCTGAAGCCAAATACTGCACTCAGCATTTGAATCTCTGTTGAGACATTTCGGGGCTGGCATCCCTACAAGTTTGACATAAAAGACTACACAGGCCTTTTTAAATATGTCGCTGTGAGGATGTGAATAGTTCAGTTAGAGGCTTGAAGAAACAGCAGAGGACACTTACAGGCAGAGACAGTAATGATGTGAGTTTTGTTTTGTTTTATAGGTTTCCAAGGTCAACCTGGCTCGCCTGGTCTGCCAGGGACTCCAGGAACCCCTGGCCTGGATGGTTTGCCAGGTGTACCAGGTTTACAAGGTCAAAAAGTAGGTGTCAGCTGCTGATATTGTTATCTGTGACTGCCCATGTTAACAGGAATGTGTGCAAAGATCTGCTTTAAAAAAAAAAAAAAAGTTGGCCAAACTGTCCTTCATCTTAGGTTTCCCACTGTGCACACGAAGGAACAGAGTAGATGGATGAATGCTTGACATTAAGGCTAAAGGGCTTATGCTTTCCCCTGAAGTCATGTATAGCGCTCTGCCTCAGTGATTTAAATACAGTTGGTGAATGAATTCTTGGTTTTGATGTATTGATTCCCGATCTATTGTGTTTCTTTGGCTAGGGTGAACCTGGTGCAGGTCTCCCTGGCCCTAAGGGATTGCCAGGCCCCCCAGGCCCATCTGGCATCCCTGGAGAAAAGGGAAATCCAGGACTGCCTGGCTTACCTGGCGAGCAAGGCTTCCCGGGCATACCTGGACAACAAGGATTCAGAGGTAACGTCACCGGAAAAATACAGCTCTGTATTTCTATTTCTTTTTTGAAGTCAGTCCCCTGTAGATGCAGCAAAAAGTCTATTCACCACTGAGATATCCTACTGATATCTCAAGGTATTGCCCTTTTTCCTCCCCCTGGTTTTCTCCCACCAACCACCGGTAGCAAATGCTAGCAGCAAAAAGCAGCCCTTCCTCCGAGCCTGGGCAGGAGGTATTAGAGGCTGAAATGAGGTGTTGTCGGCCAAGGGCTCACAAAGCACCCACATTGCTAGCATCTTCAGCAAACAAGATTTCAGATAACATTGGAGGACGCTCGGTCATGTCTCTGTCTCCCCGCAGGGGACCCCGGCCTCCCAGGACTGCAAGGCTCACCGGGCCCGCCGGGCGCACCAGGGCTGGGCCCACAGGGATTGCCGGGACCCGCCGGGCAGCCGGGACCACAGGGACCACCAGGTGAGAGGAAAATACTCCCATGGTGGTGCTTAGGAGAGAACTTTTGCCATAAATGGATATTGGAGTTGGTAAAAGCGTTGCTCGTGAACTGTTTTGTGGTGTGAGGTCGGTGGGGATGCACGGGGGGCGGGGTGTGACGGCAGGGCTCCTCCGTTTGGTCCAAAACACAGGGTGAGGCCTCCAGAGAAAACACCTGCCATTTTGTTCAGTCTCTGCAGGTCATCGGTGGGTAATATAGACAGGATCAAAGCCTCACTTAGAAAATGAGGACTATTTCTGCTGTCTGGCTTTGAGTCTTCATTCTTCATGCCATGTAATTTCTGAACATTATCATATATTCTTGTTAACGGTGTTCCCCATGCTCCGTTAAGGACTAATCCTGTATCTTCTGTTTTTCCTAGGATTTCCTGGAATAAAAGGAGAAAGGGGCTTCCCTGGTCTCCCAGGTCTAGATATGCCAGGACCAAAAGGGGATAAAGGTAGCCAGGGCCAGCCTGGAGTACCAGGGTCTGTGGGGTTACCTGGCCTGCCGGGTCCTCAGGGAGCCATTGGACTGAAAGGATCGGCAGGTAAACCGGCATCTTTGACAACTGTTTTATTAAGTTGTGGTAGCATACCTTTCACTCAGTTAGGAACTGATCCATCAAAGAGCCCAAGCTTGGGAAAACACATGGGCTGACATCAGTAAAGCAGCTCTGTGCAGGTGTAACTGAACTGCTACTCAAGTCCTTTGGTGGATCAAATCCAGCAACTTGCAGGAACTAGTCTTTAGCCTATAGTAATGAAAGGGGATTATTCTGCACAGTTTCAGTGACAGAATGTGGTTTTAATAATGCCTTTGTTAATGACAGCATTGTTTACTGTAATAGGAAGTTTTAAGAATCTGTCAAAACCCATTACAAACTGTGTTTTATTCTGGTTTTCATAATACTATTTTTACTGTTGTTTTCTCTATCAGGCTGTTTTAGATTAATCATCTTCTTTGTCCCATTTTTCCTTGAGTAGTGCAATTCCTAATATGATAGAGAGTAAATAATTCCGTTTCTAGTACTTCTTTACACTGCTTGCTTTATTTCTGTTATTCATTCTTTCACTTTGGTTTCAGGGCCCAAAGGAGAAATGGGAGTTATGGGAACTCCTGGATTGCCAGGAACTCCTGGACCAGTTGGAGATCGAGGGTTCCCTGGTGAAAAAGGTAAGAGAGAGATTTTCTCAAAATCAAAATTGTAAAATCCACCTTTTTCCCAGCAGAAGACAAGTCTGAAAGTAACCAGATATAAGGAGTATGCTTGGCCTAAGGAATATGCTACTCTACCCTTAATTGGTTTAGTGGTGGACTTGGTAATGTTAGGTTAACGGTTGGACTGGATGATCTTAAAGGTCTTTTCCAACCTAAACGATTCTATGATTCTATTTTATGTCAAGTAACTTCCCTGTAAGTTAGAAATAGTGTAATTTAGAAAGCCATATCCTGGGAGCAGTCATGTATTTGGGCACTGAGCCAGGAATTTTGATCTGTTCCTCAACAATGTAAGGATTTGATAGGTGTGAGGATGCTATAGATATTACTCCAAGAAAAATACTGTGTTTGAAATTATAAAAAGCCAGCAGGAAGGTCTTAATTAAATCCTCCAAGTAATGCCCTGTATTACTGTCAAACTCCTATCCCTATTGTTTTGAGAGTCTAAAATGAATGGCTGTGAATTGGGAAAAATACATCAACTTTTTTGACAGAGCTATTGTGAAGTCCTGGTATAAAAAAAACTTCATATGAGATAAATGAGGTGTTCCAGAGCATGATATTTGGTACTCAAAATTTGAATAAATAGCTAATTTCATTTGTTGTTGTCTATTAAATATTTTTTCAAAGTTTTATATGCCACTATAATAGTCTGTGCTATCGCTTTATAGGGAGCCCAGGTTTCAAAGGTGAAGTTGGACCACAGGGTGATGTTGGTGTCAAAGGAGATAAAGGTGAAGCTGGTCTCCCAGGAAAACCTGGAACGATGGACAACATGGACATGGTTAGTCTCAAAGGCCAAAAGGGAGATCAAGGAGAAAAAGGTAACTTTAGTCTCTAACTGTTGATAAGTGTAATTAACACTCATATACTGTTAAGCAGCAATGCTTTGAGTTCAGTTGTATTTTAGTTATAGACAACAGTTTTCAACATAAGATTAAAGAATTTCACACAGCAAATGCAGGTATTTTTCCAGTATCTTCCAACTCCATAGAAACAAAGATTAATCACAGACAGAAGGGGTTTTGTTTGGGTGGAAGCAGTTCAATTTGCCCTTATAAAATCCATTTTACCTCTTTTATCAGAAGACTCTCTCAAAAGAAAATAAATTTTAAAAGTAGAAACTAGAGCTTGCCAGAAGAGAAAAGCTGTCTTTCATGTCAAACATATAGTGGAAACACTGTTGTGGCCATGAAGACCAACTGATATTGTAAGAAAAAGTGGGCAACCTTTTTTGGCACACATGTTTGTTTGTGACCTGAAGAAATTTTAGGAAAGACGCACTTGTATGCCACTGATACCAAAAGGTCAAATCATGGCAGTTTAGAGACATCTGGAAATACGCAGGAGAAAGGCAATCAACTTTCTATTTAGAAACTTAATGGTGGTAGAGATATTAGGTTTTTTAGACAATGCATTCTTCTTGGATTTTTATTTTTACCGCTACATGAAAATTTAGTTGTTTAAGGTCATTCTCTCTCCTGTTTTTCTTTTCAGAGAAAAAGTAGTGTGTATTTTATATATTTTTATTATTTGTCCTTTTTTTATTGTGATTTACTTGTTACTAAAAAATCCCATAAGAGTTTTTAAATAAATGATAACTGTTTCAGTTAAAATAGAAGTGTAGGGCTTAGAAAGGAGCTACTGAGATCATGTAGTCTTCCATTTCCCTCAACAAATCCTTCAGCCTTTCATTGTATTATAATGTTTTCTGAAATAATTATCATTCTTATTACCCTTTCTGACTTCTCCCCCATTTGGCTGCATCCTTGTTAGAGGGCACGTTGCTGAAACAAGTGAATTACTTCAACTCAGGCCTGCTAGAATGAAATTTCCCTTTCTTGAAACAACAGCCAACTCTGTGATTAGCTATAATCCTTAGTCCTTTACTTTTGGACTGCTGCCTATGCAATCGTTTTTCATTTTGTATGCGTGCTTTTGTCTTCTCCTTACGATGTATGTGGTGTACTACACTTTTTGAATTTCATGATGTTGATTTTCAACCTTTACTCCAACGCTTCAAAATCCTTCTGCATTCTAATCCTGTCTTCTTTATAAGCCTTTCCAGTTTAGTGTCATCTGCACATTTCTTCAATGTGTTCTCTGTTGGGCCCAGGACAGAGCACTTGCGATTCCTTTCCAGTTTGACAGTGAATCACCAATAACTATACTATGTTATATTTGAACTGTGGGAACAGGAGAGTTTCCCAGTCTAGGTACCTCTTATCTCCATGTCCTGACTGCTTGTCAGAATGAGACCTGGGCTTGTGTGTCCTGGCTGGGTCTCAGAGAAACCTGGGCATGTGGATAGGCAGTGCTCCCCAGCTTGGACAGCCAGGGACTGCAAGGGAGGGCAGGAACAAGTGTGGAGTGCATCAGCCTCTAAGCTGAGATGCAGCTTCTGAGAGCACTTTTGTATTTGATGAGGCTCCCAGCCTATAAAGATTTAATCTAGATTAAATTTTCTCATTTGTTTTTGATCTTGATATATACAGTGGTATGAAAAGCCTTAAAACAAATCCACATAGGTGGTTTTTCATTACATTCTTATCTATTGTTGGCCTGTAGGTTGACTGATTGATAATTAGTTTTATTTCCTTTCCAGAAATCCAATTAGGCATACTGGTTACGTGCATATAAAGAAGCCTTTGCTGAGAAATTCAAATGGTTAATTTCTTTGGTTTCTAATATTTTCATCTCTGCAGCACTAATAATGCACGCTTGTATAATTGTATGCTCTACCTTTTCCTGATCACACACAGTCTATAGATTGGCCTGGTTCACACAGCCTGGAAGAGTAGGTTCCAAACAGACCCCAGCCTGCAAATTTCTGCTGTTATTCTGCCCATCTCATCCTTTTCAACCCAGAGATACTTAGTAACAGCAGAGAAAAATAACCTAGTTATACTCTATAACTTTGCTGATCTATTAGCTGCCTTCATCTCTCTAGACATGAATATCACAGTAATGTTTTAAAAAGCTTCTGAAATACAAACCGTGCAGAAAAGACACAGTATTTTTATGGAAGATTGTCAGTGACATTTAATGAAAAAATTTGGTATTGGACATCTTGGGATGTTTTTAATAAAATCCGCTTACTTAAAAACATTCAGCGAGCTATCTTCAGTAACCTATTGTCCTACACCTATATGCAACACTAACAGAAAGGGTTATGACCAAAAGCTTGGACTGTAAAGCTGGAGGAGAGGCACACCACAGAATAAGAGGTGGAGCCTTCTGGAATGATGAAGATGCTTTAACATTAGATAGAACTGAGGAAACAGCAAATTTATGGCTGTGAACTGGTTGTTCACATGTACCTTTTTAGACAGCAGAACAGTCAAATCAATCACTTCTGTTAACACCTGATATTGTCTGGCACTTCTGAAGTAACTCGTTAGTCTAACTCAAACACATGTTCGTTTGCAATTTCTTTTAAAGATATAACTTGCCTTGTAATTTGCACAGACACCTGTAAAATTGATATAGTTTGCAGCCCTTCCTCAGCGCTGGTTTAGTTACTGGAGAGTTGTGTTTTACTCAAGTGTGACTCTACAATGTATGAAGCTTGAATTCAGCCATTTCCTTGTTCAGCAGAGAGAAGCAACAGTGATCATTAATTAAATTAACTAGAAAGGATTATTATCTGGCATTATGGTACATTTTGATAAAACTTACCTCACTGTGTTTGTTTCCTTGGTGTCCAGGGGACCATGGAGCAACAGGAGAAAAAGGGTTACGTGGGGACTATGGAGAACCAGGAATTCCAGGGAAGGATGGTGAACCTGGTACTCCAGGACATCCAGGTATGTCTGAAGCTAGCAACAGAGAGGCTGTTCATCAGGTGTTTTAAACCACACTAACTAATGGAACTCTTAATTTCTCTGCTGTCTGTAGGACCAAAAGGTGATCAGGGCCCCCCAGGGTTCCCGGGGGATCCAGGAATTCCAGGACAAAAAGGATCGGTTGGTGAAATGGGTTTGCCAGGTACTGATTGCTGGGAATTTCTTAGTATTGTTTTCCTTAAGTTAATACAGAACATTATGAGAGACCTTTATGGAATATTTGTTGGTGTAGGTCTACTAAACAGTTGCACTAATTGCAGTGTCTGAACTTTAAGCTTTTGGGACATTGCTTTCTCAATCCTATTGTGATATACAAACAATAGGATGGTTTCCTAAGTTTCTACATGCGAATCCTTTAGCTGGATATGTAGGATTTGTGTATCTGTTGCAGGCAGGCAGTTTTTCAAGTGATACCTGTTTGTCTGTCTGTCTACTAATGTGTGAACTGAATTAAGCTTCTTGTGTTTTTTCCCTCTTTTAAAAAGTTTGGTGGGTTGCTGTGTACTCTGTGTTAATCATAAACTGTAGTGGTCTGGGAGGAGTGTTACTGTGGAGGGGATTGGTAAAGAATAGAATAGAGAAGAACCTATATCTCAATATGGAACATTTGTCTCCGTTCAGATGGTGTTGTGCCTAGCATATATAGGAAATCAAAGGTAAAAGACTGAAATGGTAAAGGGGGACAGAAAAATTTGCTATAGCAGAGTCCCTTTGTCACTGTGATCCTGTTAGAAATTATTCAAATCAACATAAACTTTTATTCGAATCATATTTTTAGCAAGAGCTCTGTTTACTCTGAATCCAAGATTGTGGCCTTCTCTTATGAGGAGAGCTTATCTTCCCATAAAAAGTGCCATTTAGAAAGTGAATCTCAAAAGTTAATTGACTAGCTCTTTTAGTGAGTTACATTGCTTTTCTAGCTCCGAATAGCTAAGGTGAAACTGAAAGAGACACTAGTTCTGATACAACCATTTTTCTTTTTCTGTTACTAGGAACACCTGGAGAAAAGGGCCTGCCGGGAGTACCAGGTTCACCAGGCACACCAGGGTACCCTGGGCAAAAAGGTGCAAAAGGAGACAAAGGAGCACCAGGTTTTCCTGGAGTTGGCTTTCCAGGGTCTCCTGGTGAGAAGGTATTTAAACCCCTAAGGTTTTAATTGTCTGTCTCTACCAAGTACTTCATTCAAAAAGACACCTTTGGCCTTTAAGCTATTTTATTATATTTTCTATTATGCTCATTTAAATACCTGATGAGAAACTTGAAAGTTGTGCATATGCACAGGTTTCGATGCTTTCTGTTGACAGGACCATTATCTCCAGGGTTCTTAGTTATTCTTTCTCTTCAGAATAGGCTAATTTACAGTGCTAGAAATGTGGGGGAGGGGAATAACTTCTAAAAATACTAAGTAAATAAAGTGAAAAGGGCTTCTTCCAAACAGAGCAAATAATCACACTGAAATAGTGTTTCTGTACTTTTACAGAGATACTTGGAAGCTGAAAAAAACTATAAAATGCTCAGATATTACTGACAAGAGAACTGTATTAATACTGTCCATAAAGTTAATTTAATCTCTAATAGTGTTCGAATAGGATTCTCATTTGTTTCACATTGCTTTTCCTAGCTGTACAATGACAGTAATCATGAATTTATAAGTAAAAATTGTAAAAATAAAACTTACTAATCTGGTAGCAAGCTTGCTGAAGACTTAAAAAAAGATTTTTTTGAAGATGATTGAGTGTAATAAGTAAGTTAAGAGGCTAATTTGGAAAAGACTTTGTAAAAACCGTCATAAAAATGCATAGAAAATTATTCATTTTCATATGTAGGTATTAAGCAATTGCTAGAAAAGTCAGTAATTCTCATGGTGGAATTTAATGCCAAATTTAATCCTAAATTACTTTGTTTCTAAATGGAAAAAGAATTAAATTCTTTATAAGTCTGATGGATAAGAGGTGACATCTACCATTGCAAACAGAAAAAGCTGTTTCAGAATTAATGTGTGGATTTTATAATGTGTGCTGCTTCTTCTAGGGAGAACCAGGAAGAACGGGTAGTCCAGGTTTATCTGGAGATAAAGGTGAAAAGGGTAGTGCAGGAATTCCTGGAATGCCGGGTGTCCCAGGTCCCAAAGGATCCCCTGGCATGGCAGGATTTCCAGGCAAGTGTTTATGCTTTAATAAAACAGAAATTGCAGTGAAAAATTAGTGTGACGCTTATACCAAATATCCTGCATGTAAACCAATGTTGTCTTCCTTTCTTTAGGGAGCCCCGGCCGCCATGGAGAAAAGGGTGAAAAAGGACTTCCTGGCTTAAGTGGCATTCCAGGTTTAAAAGGAGAACCAGGTAGAAAAGAAATATAAACCACTGAATGCTACTTAAAGTACTGTTCACCTCCAGGCAGTGGCTAAAACAAATACTGTGGCATTCTATATTTGTTTTGGCTCAGATATTTCCTGGTACATTTGTTTATTTCATAAGCAAAACCAGACAGTGCTGTTTCCCAGGTAAATGAAAGTCAGTGTAGTATGGGGCTAATACTTCTTTTGTACTGTCTGTGGAAGAGATTTTACCACCTTCCACAAGACTGGTTGTTGCTATAGCCATGAGTTCTGTTGTTTCTGAGTTCATTTAAAAACAATAAAGTTGATCCATGGGCGCAAACCTGAATCACCACATTAGCATCATTACACAGATGTTAAAGAGGAAATAGAGTAGGGAGGAGAGTAAGTCCATTGCTGTTGTGAGTATAACAACATTTTTGAACTTGGAGCCTTGTGTTCTTAGTTTACTGGCTGCAGGACATGTCATCTCATTGGACAATGGGCTGTGCTATTCACAAGTCTTTGCTGGATTTCCTGCACTCTAAACTCACTGAGATTCATGATAATGTGAAAATCTGTAATACTTGAGCCCTATCTCACAGTGATTTAATTCAGAAGTAACCTCAGAGGAAAGTCACACTGAAGTCATCATGCAGTATCTGCTTGGTCACTGTGAGGGCAAAGGAATAAGTTAAGCCTTTCTTTAGAGGAAAAAAAGGTGTAAAAAAAGGTCTGATGATTCATAGGTGAAATGAAAATGGCAATGATTTTTCAGGTGAACCTGGAGTTCCGGGTCCTGCTGGTTCCGTTGGACAGAAGGGTGAACCAGGATATGATGGGATTCCAGGTGCAGCTGGTGCAAAGGGTGAACAAGGTACTGTGACTGTCGTGTTAATTTTATGGGGTATGAAAATGCACAGACACAAGCTACACAAGAGTAGCTGGTAGAGGGGTGTGCTGGGTTTGAGGTACTTAGGATCGAACCTTAGAAAATAAAGTTAGTATGGTATTTTGCAAACTATTGACTATCATCCATCATTGCAAAGCTAATAATTTAGATGAGCAACTGTGTTTCATCAATGTAATCATGAAAGAATTTCTCTCACAAAAGCTGGCAATACTTTAAAGAATTGGTGTGTTTTGGAATTAATTTCAGTCTGCAGCTCAGTTGTGAAATAATGGAGCAGGCTTGCATTTTCTTAGGGCAGGGGTTTCACTCATACAGGACCCATTGTGCTAGATACAATACCAATATATAACAAAGACAGTCTCTGCCCTGAAGAAGTTCTGTATAAGCCGTTTCTTTAGATTTTATATTTGCTTAATAGAGTTTTGTTCATTACAGGTTTAATTAAAGTACTGTCTCATCTTCTAATTTTTTGCTGCCTCTATTTTACAGGTATTCCAGGTAGAGGACTTCCAGGATTTCCTGGTGCAAAGGGAGATAAAGGTAAAACACTTCTTTAAACAAGCAGCAAACCTCCCTCCCAACATACTATAAACATAATTCTGTAATTCAGACATACTTTCTACTCCATTATTTTACATGCTATACCTTTTCAGAGCAGGCAGAAACTCTGAGAGGCTCAAATACTAATTTCTGTTACAGTGGCAGCATCTTGGACATGAGTTAGATATGCCCTAAAATAGGTAATTATTCATAGTGTGGAATTTACTGCAAGCTGTGCTGTGATGAGGTAATATAAATAACTCTTGTATTGGTGTGCTGTGCTTTTGACTCCAAGTATTTCTGTTTTCCTACTAATTTTGCAAGAATCAAAGTCTAGTGAGGCTCTGTGCACCAGACAGCTAAAGATAGTAGTTTTGTGGCCAGGATACCGCAGTAATTTTTTTACCTGAGTCTGTTGTGCAGCCCAGATGCAATTTTATTCATTGCTAAAATAGTTATTCTCTATAGCTCAGTAGAGCATGTCTAAGCTATGCACAGGAGCATGGTGCAGAGATGCAAAAGATAGCAGAGACCTGATGAGATCTTACTGAAAATTGTTATTACCTGGACTCGGGACTTATTAGCTTGGGTACAAGCACATAGCTATCACAATTTCAAGACCACTTGTGGTCTTTGCAAAGTGTGTCACTGCATTGTGCTGTGAAAACAGCTTGATTGGCTTGAGTCAGTGCTTGTTCAAGGTGTCTGTAATGCACCATGCTCCATTTTATGAAATAAGTATGTCCTAGACACTGGACTGCAATAGATACAGTAGTGAAGAAATATCAAGCTGCTGATGATAAAGAAAATTGTGTAGAATTAAAGGATTTTCAATTTTAAGCATCCAGAAAACAAAAAAGATTCAACTAGTCCATCTATGAAATTAACATGACATGGCAGATTTTGAAGAACTTACATAGCTTGTAATATCATTGCCTAACCTCACTCATTCATTCTATAAATACAGGAAACTTGTGTGGGCAATCAAAAGCGATAAACCAGAATTTTAGAATATCTTTTATTTACCATCTCAGAGTAATTAACAGTCATTAATTGATGAGAAAGCCCTAATGTTAGAGAACTTACTTTAATAAGCAAATTTTCTAATGATAGCTTGGTAAGGCATGTAGAATGCTAGATTATAAGAGCACTTTTCTCACTTTACCCATGTGTCTCGTTTTGTCAGCACAGCTCATGTAAAAATATCTGGGTTTAGAGTAAATAGATACCCAACTGACATAATTTGTGTTCCAAATGTATTGTAGTACCCCAAAAAACAAATGCAGGATTTAAAGACCCTGTTCTGTTAACTCCAGCCAGCAACTAAGCACCACACAGCCGCTTGCTCCCTCC